AGCCATCATAAGCAGAGTAAATGGTTATACACCAGAATTAATGGACCATTTATTCCACTACTTTCTTTGAGTGTAACCAAAGCATTGCCTTCAAGTGTCCTCTGTTAGTTTCGATTGAAAAATGTCTGGGGTAAATCCTGTGGGACAAAAATGTTTTCAATTGTTGAAAATATTTATTTTGAAATCTCAAGCGAATCCTGCAATCTGATTGGTTCCTAACAGGTTGATTTCAGCCTAAATCGAACCATTTTGAACTCTGAATCACACTCCTTTGAGAAACAAATATTGTATTTGTACGAATTAATAAAATTTTATGTTGTACAATGCGTTAGATTTCAAAATCGATATGATTAAGTGGTAATTGAACTGAGTGGAGTGCAATTTGGTTCGAAATCAAACGTGTGATTCAAAATTGCACGACAGCGGCGTAGAGTCAATTACCATTATTATTTTTTCCCGATAAAACATGCACTCGGGTTTATTAAACAACACCATAGAAGATTTTGAATTTTTTCAATCGAACGCTTATACTCGTGTTTTGTCATAAACATATCATCAGACCTCAGTAGGATTTTTTTCTACAGGGACATTACCAAGATTCACAAGGTTGGACGCTTATTGCTCGATTCTCAAATAACGATGATGGGAACTGGATGGGAGACGATGCTTCCTGGTGGTACACTCATACAACTCCACAAGGAGACGTTACGAGCCCAGGCGTAAACCAGGACATGATCTCCGCCGCCTTCTGGTTTTTAAAGGGGAACAACATTAAGATCACTCGCTCAGATGATCCTCACCACACGGCCTTGCTGCAGACTACTTCAAACTGTTTTTCCACACAGACCTTCCGTTCAATGATCTCAAGCTATGGCATGTTTACGCATAAAACAGCATGGGCAAGCGATCTGTGTCTTGGCAGTTGTCGAGTGTCATACGGGGGAAACTATCAGACGACAAATGGTTTTTCGCAAAGCCAGTGTGGTAGCAATATACAGAGCAGTAATTACATTGGATTCTGGTGTGATTGGGATAACGGTGATGGTGCAGTGATGATGATTGGTGGAGGAGGTTCTGCGTGTAAACGAGCTGATCACGGCATTGCAATAACAGAAGCTAACGAGGCTGCATTTTCAGATTCTAGCCAAGGCGAATGTGATTTCGGCAATGATGCTCAAGGCAAAGTTTGCACTTCGACTTATTCTCTTAATTTGTGGATTAAGTGAAAACTCGACTAACTTCCTAAACGAAAGAGAAACGTTTACTTAATAGAACTGCATGCCATTGACTTATTTCATATTGTGCCAATTTTTGATTATAGAAAATGAGCCTCGATCATCTAGAATGAAAGATCA